AGTGTAAACCCTTGCCCCGAAAAACCTACATTGATGAGAAATTCAACGTTTGAACAACCGAAATATTCCAAACTGAAGAGTTATTGTTTGCAGAATCCTACCCCTCGAACAGGTAACAGTCCTCTGGTTCGAGGTATCACTGAGTCGCGAAATCAATCTCGGCTGAATATCGTAACGTAGTTTCCGTTATAGTTGTTTGCATCTTTGGGAATGTCTCTTTACGGTGACAAGAAATGCGCGTTAAGCCACGATAGCGTTCGCGTTGAGCGGGTAAAAAAGTTTAAGTCAACCACTCGTAAGTTTTTGCGGGGTAGTTTTATATTTCGCGAAGAATTCAGATTAAGCCGCGGAGTCGTTAAGAAGGTTTGCGTCGAGGCGCGAGCAGTTAAGACGATCGCCCTATAAATTACCGCAGGGTGGTTTCAAATTTGTTAAAAGAATATACGTGAATATTTGTGTTAAAGGAGCCGAGGCGATCAAAATTGTTTGGTGATTGTCAATGGAAAAGAGAAACTATGTGTGATTACGATAACTGAGTTTGATGGTTTCAGTTGAAAAGAATAATTGCGGCGAATTCGACAATTCCGATAAGTGTTAACGGTTGTGGGATTTTTTTAGAAGAAGAAATGTTTTCGAGGAATATGTGCATTTCTTTCCTGATTTAATGAACGACGAGAAAAGGTTTTTTAATTACTTCAGAATGACGCGTGGTAAATTTCATTGTTTGTTAGAATCTGTAAGAGAAACCATTACTGAAGAAAGGTGTTAGGCTCGCAAACCTGTTGGAGCAGAAGAAAGGCTAATGGTGTGCTTAAGGTACCTACTCGTCTTGTTCATCAACAACTGAGCTTCGGGAAGAATAAATCGATACAACGGAATATTGAAGGATTCTCAGTATTACTATTTACCTTTTTTTTCCAATCTATACCGCGTTTCCGATGCCGATCTATGGGCGCGTATCTTAACTCGGCGATAACACTAGCTTATCTTAAGACTAATCAGTTTTCGCAGCGATAATGACTCTTATCGCAAACGACAGGAGATAAACTTTTACTAAGACCGCGCAAATAATTCCGGATGAATAAACTTAATGTTTTAACGCGTAATTCCTTTACAATTAAATAAACAAAGTACAGGCGACTATTTAAACAAAAATTACCTCGAAAATTACATTATCAAATAATTCTAGTACAAATCAAGATTAATCTAAAATTCGAATGATATGATCGGAATTGCGCTTAATTCCATTTTTTTTATTTTTTTTTATTTTAACGTCAAAATAAAAATTGAAATTCAAATACAGGATGACCCATCAATACTGCCGGGCTGCTGATCTCCAACAAAACACCCGCATAGAGTGGTTTACACAACATTACACCAACTTCCCTACTGCCGATTATTATTTTGTCGGGTGCCACTTCTATCGGACCGACAGCGCACTACCACCGGAACCGATGAGTAAAATTTTGCTACCACAAGGGGCGCTAAAGGGTTTTTGCGCGTTTTTATGCCTACCTTTTTTCAGCATTCGGCAATTCAGTATTTTGGAAGTTTGAAGACGTAGCGATCCCAAATCTGTTGATTTGTGGGTCTGAACGGTACCACCAGAATTTTTTTTTTGATACCCCCAACGAAATCAAAATTTCGAAATTTAATAACAATGTAAATTGAGGCGGCCCAGTCGTCAAAGTTCATGTATTGTCAGTTTTCCGTCAAGTTATACGAGCAAGTATCTCCCTCGTCGAATTTTCTATAAATCGAATATATTCACATAGAGCCCTAAACGATGCGATTAACTCAAATAAGGCGCTTTATCGAACAACATTATTTTTGGGTTCCATTACGCGTATTTGAGAGAGATGCTGATCCAGATTTTTTCCAAGGTTGGACGACTCGATGGTAGTTTTAGACGTCGTATAAATAAGGTAATGTGTATTTTTTTATTTATATTCAATTCGAATTGTGTCCTTGAACGGCTCGATTTTGAGCATTTTGTAGCTATTTAATTTTTGTAAAAGAAATTTCCCATTGTACCTACATTTCGATTTTCGATATGAGGTGCCAAAAAACTTCTGAGTTTTTTTTGCTATCAAATGGGTCAAAGGCGGAGGAGAGAATTTTTGAATTTTCAGATTTAAAAAACAGATAAGCCATTTTTACTACAGGAATTGGATCCAGGTAACTGTAACTACCTGTGGACACTTTATTTGGCCAAAATCTAAGATTACGAATGTAACAATCAAAATTGAAATAAAATGATAAGGGATTGCGCCCCCTGAAAATTTTTTACACTTTTATTATACACCCTGTACGGGGTGTCCCAATAAGAACCGTTCGTCAAATAACTTGAGGGTAAAAAAAATTATTGGGTAAATCGGTCATGAAGAATCGCTGGAAAATATTTTAAAGTTCTAAAAATGACCAACAGCCATCTTAAATTTCTCAGTTATTTCAAAAACGTGGGGGTTCAATTGTTTTTGCAATAACCTGCTTCTTAACCGTTTGACCGATTTTAACAAATTTGGTAAGGTTGAAAAGAGCATTCCTTGGGCAATGAGAATCCAAACTATAGTTAATTTAATTAAATCCTTCTCCGCCAGGGGGTTAGTTTTCACACTATAACCCAAAATCCTAAAAAAATATAAAAAATCAAATGGAGTGATATGACCTTTTTTATGAAAAAGTATCCAAATAACATCCAAAGAGACCAGTGAAAACAGTTTTTCAAAATCTTGTTCCTAACCTCAAATATTGGGAAAGTGAGATTAATTAATTAATTTTAAAATGCTTAAATTGTATCTTAAATTTACTTTTTACGTATTTCCGGTATTTGTCGATGGCGCGAAACAAAAGCACCCTACACTTTTAGGTGGGCCTTCGAAAATTAAACAAATGAAACACGATGCATTATCAAATAATAACAGCCGTAATTTGTAAATTATTCTACTGTGTTTACATTCAGAAAGTGCAGTTTTTTGAATTTGTAATCTTTTCTAAAATGCCCATTTTTAACCAAGAAGCATTTAATATGCTGGCGAAATATTTTGAGTATTTTGAAAATGCGACCATCGCTGCCCACTTCTTCTATTTGCGTTATCCGAATCGACCACGAACCACTGCCGCCAGCATATTAAATGCTTCTTGGTTAGAAATCAGCATTTTAGAAAATTACAAAGAAAATGCAATTTTAAAATTTAAGATGGCAGTTACGCCCTCTAGTGGTCATTTTTAGAACTTGAAAATATTTTCCAGCGATTCTTCATAACCGATTTACCCAATAATTTTGTTTACCCCTAGTCATACGACGAACGGTTCCCGAGATATGGCCGAGGAACAGTCTTATTGGGTCACCCGGTACATATACAATATATGGATGGCGACGTTAATGATGCAGGAAAAGTTGGTTTAACGATACAAGATAAAAGGGATAAACGGAAAGTGGTATGAAATGAGTAAAGGGAAAGCAGATGAACGGTTTTAAGTTTTCAGATCTGCATATCAGGTTTTCAGGTCAGTAAGTGACAGGAAGAAGTGCCCGGTCAATCAGAAGGATCTTCTTTTTTATACAGAAATGATTACTGATACGCAAGGGAAGTGGAAATGTCATTTCGCGCAATGTTTTGCTATTCTTAGCTAGTGACATCTGGCGATCGACAATGTAGGTAGTTAGTTTTTAAGGCAGCGTTCACGCGCTCTATAAATAAAGCAAACCAGCCGAGGCCGTGCTATTGCCGATCCCGCCAGTTGTTCCCAACATACCAATTAATAATGGATTACCGAATTTTGAAATTTAATCTCGCCCATTGAAGTGAGTACCTATAAATTAACAGTACCTATTTACATGAGTTGCAGTGAATCACATCCGAACCGGCCGTAAGTGGTTTCTTTGGAAGTGCGATTAATTAACTGAGATTTTCGCGGGGATCTTCTTGCCTTTAGTGTTTTAACCGAAACGTAAGATCTTGTGCCTTTTCCATGTTTACCAATTTGCAAGACACGTTAGCTTAATCTTTATCACTGTTCCGTTAAACTAAAAGGTAAGCGTTTGATATTTTTCATTCTGTTAATTACAAAAGGGGTACAGGCTGCTTTTCTGTATTTGATTACCCGTAGCTACCGGTACTTAATATTAGTGCTTCGCCAGAAGCCGATCGCCGTTGCCCACAAGATCTCTGAAGACCGTTTCTCCGACGTGTTATCTGTGGCATCCGTTTCTAAACCTTACCCAGGGGCAAATTGCGCATTCCCTGGTGGCGCTCGAGTCCGTCCGTCCTCGTGCCTTCAGTTTCCGTTTGAGTTATAAGTGATGTATACTTTATTGTAAAAGTATAGTTTCTTTATGCTTATTTAATTTAACAATTACAACTAATTACAATTCGTCACATCGCTAATTGTAACGGTTGATTGAAAGCCAGCTCCTAAATTTTAAGGAACGCTATTAGATAGCACATTAGGCGATAAATAAAATGTTGTATACAACGGCATACGGCGGGGAATTTGAGGACAATTAATCTGTGCATTTACCTGCAACAAAACCTAATTAATGAATTGGGTAAAATGAATATCCACACAGCGGAACATTGGCATTTTATTCCTGTGCATAATCACGATCTCGGGAAGCTGCAGCCGGTTTGATTCGATGCCCAATATGTACGGGACTTTTTTTTCGCTGAAGTTTTGCATTCATCACGTACCATCGAAGCGACCTGTTTCAACAAAGCGGCATTTTCCAAAGAGAACAAGATTGTTACCCACCACAATTACTGTAATTTATTTTAAACGTTTGATTTGTAGAAAGTAGTGGTCGGTTATTTTTAAGAATTCGCATTTTAATATTCCTAAAGGAATCGACCTATGAACATTATTGACACGCCAAAAATTTCGTTCCAATGTTGCAAACAGGCGCATTATTCCTTCTAAAGAAAAAATAGTAAGTAAATCTCAGTTTCATTTCAACGGGGCAAGATAGCGCATACTTGCTTATTTGTGTAGAAACTCACCTATTTAGCCGAACTAGTGCATAATTCACGCTGTTAATATTTGTACAAAAATTCGTATGCTGTTGTGGTGAAAAAATTCTCTCAATGCTATTTAGCACAAAGGTCCATCGCTCCGTGAAATTAGCCAGGCAATTCAAGTACAGATTGCAATATCAATCTCATTTGGAAGCAAATTTTCCCAAGCAAACACTTCGAATCATTGATTAGCTTCTATTATTCTTACCCTTGTTGACAGTGGAGACAAATGGGGTAGGAAAATTACCTGAAAAGAAAATTCAAATTAGAAAGTAGGTATATAAATTATCAACGAATTCAAATTTGCATTCAATCAAATAATCGCGTGAATCTTTTTAAATTGTCTGTATTTTAAGGATTCATCATGGTTAAAGAAGAAAGGGTTACAAAGTATCTTGCATTGAAGAATAAAATAATGATCAAATCTACAAAGTGCAAGAAAACGTATAATTTAAAATTACAATCTGTTCCATCATGTATGACTTGGTCCCCGCTATAAGAGGCTTTGGTATTTATGTTAACGCAAAGAAATTTCGCTTTTAGATCTTTACTTTTACAGAACTTTTCCCCGTTTCACAAGCGAATCCGTAATGTAAAACACAAAAGGTGATTAAAGTTGAAAATTTCATCGAATATTCAAAAGGAAACCGTTATGCAAATTCCCGAGTTTGTTTAACAAAAACATTTGAGACTTTCAATTAACAAATCTCCTTTTAGAAACAAATTTTTCCAGAGTGTAATCGGATTATATATAAAATTCTTGTGTAACTGAAAAGCATCCGTGTATTACTTTTTTTTTCTTTCTAAAAGAAGCGTTTTCACGATTTCAGTTTAAATGGCAACAATTTTTATTAAGAAGCGCACAAGGTCTTCGAAAGAAGTTTTATTTCGAGAATTTGAAATTAAAACTCGTCGCGATCGCGCTTACCAAACAATGAGATCCTATTGAGTTTGTCAAGCCATGTCCAAAGTTCGATTGACAATTCGTTTCTTCTTGAACGGTCAGGTGGATGACCGTATTGTTGCCAAATGCGCGGAACGATTACTGATTAAATGAACTGTCCATCTCGTTCTCGACTTCGTTTTATTTCCCTTAAAATGTCACATACAAAAACCAATTTTAACGTGCAATTACTTTGCGGCTGAGAGAGCGAGTCGCGTGTGATTTTAACTACGATTTGTTTGTGGAAAGGAATCGATTGCCGACTTCATATTTCATAGTCCTTTACACGAAATTGTTTTCGAATTTTCGTAAATCACCGCCAATAAACGACCCTATTTCAGTAAATTGATGAAATCCTTTCATTTCGTCAATTGGAACTCGTATATTATGCTCTTATTTAGGCTATGCCGTTTTCTTCTACACACGCATTTGTCTACAATGTCATACTTCCGGATAGGTTCACTTCTCAATAAGACTGCTGGATATTATTATTCTCAATTTCAACTTCAACAGGTAGTAAGTACTCATTTCTTGTACAATTCAATCTTGAAATTATAATGTATAGGTGGTTATGCCTTTATATTGTTTTATTAAGTATTTATCTATGTATTCGCGTACTGTTGCCCTGTACGATTCGACTAACTGTTCATACTGTGGAGGAAATACCTCATACCGTTCCGATTCTTCACTGTATATGTTTCTTTCTCATTTTGTGTAGACTGAACTTCTTGCGTCTTCGCAATACGACGGAAAGGGAGCGGGGGTCCTCTTTTTCTTCTGTTTAGTATGTGATTCTGTTTATCATAATCGAATTCACCATAAACACTGTTTGTATTTTTACCTGTTAAATGAATGGTAGCCGATGCCGGGGCGTTTGATTCGATTCTTTGATTTTTATTGTACGATTTGAGATGTTTGATTTGTGTATTTCTAGTGCATTTTGTTGTAGTTTATTTCTTATATTTGTGTATTACGCCAGATTTGATTTCGACATGAAGGTTAGATGGCTCTGCTTATAGTTTTTCCTCATCATGGTTGCCAATTGCAAGTATAGAGTAATCTATAAAAACGAGTAGTCGTGTAATTTGTGCAACAAAACAGAAATAAAACAAAAAAAATATTTTGAATTCTTCAGCTTTTCTCAAGTTCCTCTCGACAGCATCTTCAAGTCCCCCCCCCTCCCCCGCCCTAATCGTTGTTAGAATCTGCTAAAGGTTGTCAAAGGGGAGGTAAGGTAACAGCATTTGATGACCGTCTGCCACACCTTCAAGCTTATAGGCGGCCTGTTTCGAAAAACATCCGAATTCGCTAAAGGGTCCGGACAGATCGACGGACGAACGGACAAAACGCAAACAATAGCATTCTTAAAAAATGCTCTAGAAATAAATAAATCCACTATTCCCTTCTAGTCCGAGATCTACAATAGTCAAAATTACCCTAGGATAAGGTTAACGGTTCCTGGTAGGTGCAGTATCTTTACAGACAATGCAGAAGCTCCAGCATCTGTAGTAGATCCCAATTCATTCGGTAATCGCAAAATTTAAATAGGTCAAAGATCTAGTCATCTATATTAATTATTTAACCCGAAAACCTCCTCACTTTCTTTGACTATCGTTCTTACAGTAAGAAGTCGATTTAATTTAACGCCGTTTAAATGTAATTATTAACGTCGCTTCAGAGAAAAAAATTAGTTAAATTCTGTCCTATTCTTAACCATCTTAACGACGAGTTTCTTGAAAGCTCTCCACAACTTCCTCCAATTATCAAGGTAAGATGTGGTCACGTTTGCTTCTAACTTACCCCTATTTAAACTTCAATAACACTATTACCTAGGTTGTAATTTTGGGCCGGAGTTAATCACAAAATCAATCATTTACAATTGAATCAAATTTATTTGACATAAAACAATCAAGCTAAAAGAAAAATAGACACTCAGGACCAGACATGCCACGCAACAAGAGAGCAATAGACAATTAATTAAAGCGAAACTTAATTACGTTAAAATGTCAATAATCCTAAATCTCCGGTAGCAATTGCGATTTTCAAACGAACAGATATAAAATGATACTTCGGGACTTCACTTCTCGACTTCAATTATAGCGCCTGAATCTCGATTTCGACGACACTGACTTCGTTGTAATTACAATTATAGTATTGACTCTTTAACGCGTATTGGGAAAACTTCTTCGTAAACGTAAAAGCACACTTCCGCTTAACTCCTTATAACCTTACAACGTTGACTTAAATAACGAATTATTCCACCACAATTGACTTCTAAGTGCACTTCACAATTAAACAAGACTGACTATCTCGATGACTACAAAAGTTACTGTTTTCCAAATAAATGCGGTCCAACAAGGGTAAATTTCAACGTCCAAAAAACTCTCTTCACGTCTTCCACCAAAAAGGAGCCACCACCAAGCAAAAGATTGACCAACAAAGAGCGTCCGGTTCAATTATTTAAAACCTTCATTTACTTCCTTCTTCCTTCCTTTACAAAAATGACGCACCGTCTTAGAATAATCCGCTCACTTTGCCGATAACACTCATTCACTTTGTAGCGATAAGAGAACTTCTTATCTACGGCCGGAGAAAAAAACCTGAGATAAAGTTTTAAAAATAATTTCCAGATGTTTAAATGTAGTCTTTTAACATAATTAAAAATTGACATACGGGGTGTCCCATCGTGATTGCAGCTGCAACTTCATTTCAAAAAATGGTGACAAACTACTATAGTTTTGGCCCCTTCTAAAGTGTTCAGACCTCTAACACGTTTTACTGTAAATAAACGTAATACGATAGGTGGGATTATCTCGCCTGTCCAGTCCTTTCCTGGTAATCGAACGATTACAATAAATGAATTGCTAATCCCAATCCAAAAAAAAACTTGCAAACTTTTAATAACATTCATATATGGATATGATTTTATTTATTATTATTGGATAGTGTAGTGCTATGTTATAATATACAAAGACTTATCGAGGCACCTGGTGTTATAATTTACGGCGCGCCTCGTTGATATTATTTCAATAAATCAAAGTCCTTCCCGTAATTTACGATCTACTATTTTTAAGCACGGTGTAAGTATTGAAAATCTGTTATAAACAATCACTGAAATGGGGGAGGTTTCATATGAAAATCGTGTGCACGACGCATTTGCATGTTGTATCTAATTTGTTGTCATGCAACCGATTTCATCTGCTTAGATGAGATCCTTTATTCTTTGTCTTGCAGCAGTAGTTGTGAGGAGACGAGGTATATTAAGATGATATCTTTTAACCTGAGCTTCTTTTAAATATTTAAACGAATTCCTAATTTTACCTCTCTTTACACGTTGAATTTAGTTTTCATTGCAAGTAAACGTTACTGAAATACACGTTCGCGTTTTACGATAGCAATTTTTCTACTAATTCGTTCCGGCTGCAAATGTATGTACTCGGTTAAAGGTTTTTTATTGGTTGTTTGGCGTTGTTCTAAAAATAAAAAGTTCCTTTCATTGTGACTACAAAATATACCCAGCCATCCCAGCACATCAGGTACATTTTCCAATTTACTCTTTGTTGATTTTTTAGGATCATGTTGACTCATTTACGCTGTTTAATCCAACTATAACTACAGGCGAATTACTTTTTTTAAGCGTTGAAGGGAAGAATTAACGTTTAGTTGTACACTTTTCATCAACAACTGTTTTTATCCATTTATACAAATTACCTCTTAAATTGTTACGGTGTTACCAATTATATTGCAACGTAAATTTAATTACGTGCCTTATTTATTAACAGTAATTAACAATAAATGTATAACAGTCTTGAAACGAATTGATTTATAACAACTAAAATATTATTTATCACTCACACATATACAATTTATAACAGCGCGACCTATTTATTACTTCGGCGTCGAAATTAGGACTGACAAACGCAATTCGGCTTGCTTATATAGCCCTCTCTTTCTTGAAAGATCTCGAATGGTTCCGAACGCACCCAACCATTCTAGAACATTCTCGAATAAACACGTCATATTTCCCGGAAAGATTACGTCACATCCGCCTTTGTTCTTTA